CATATATCATTGATATATTTTTTAGCTATATCGCCCAGCCCTAGCGCATACAATACTCGGCGACTTGAGCAGGATCTGAGTGGGTGTTATACAGTATAGGAAGATATAACATTGAGCATCAAATTGAGCATAAACATTTTATTTTGTTCAGCCACTATAGCCACAAGAGCACTTTCTACAAGCTACAGCGATCACAAAAATGGGCTTTTAATTGAATAAGGGGATGGATGTTGAGGAGCACATGGCATGACCTGCTTGTTCAGATCACATGGTTTATAAACTGAGTCAGTGAAGTCAGAAAAGGAAAGAGAATTTCAGAGATTGTGGAAATCTGCTAATATAGTAGATTGTGAGCTCATTCAAACTGTTATGAAGTATACTGCAGGAGTGGATGAGTGAATTAATGGATGATTTCACATCAGTCTGTCTATTTGGTAACAACACAAATCAGTCCATGTGTATCACTCAGTCAATGTGCTGATTTTGCAAGCAAACAAGGATAATAAAGTCAAAGAATCTGATGAGGAGAAAGTCAAGTCTGACCTCAAACACAGGTATGGATATGGATGAGAATTGCCATGTGTCTAAATTAAGAAAAGTTAGAAAAAAAGAAAGCGTGCCCACTTAACCAAGAGAAAGAATATGCTGAACTCAGGGAAGCAGCTACATGTGTGCAGGAAGTAAAAGAACATTTGAGTAAATTTGGTGGACCTCTGGTGATAAACAAACAGTGAATCCAGCTGGGGTTCCCAGGTGAAAAAGAAATATATTTAAATTGTGCTTTTTCAGATATACTTACTATATTTAAATTATACTATACTAAGTGCATATTAAATGTATTATTTTGAAACAACTTTAAGTATATTAAGTGTATTTCAAGATATATTTAAGTTTGATTTTAATCTATTTGTAATATATTTAATATATTGAAATTGTGTTAAATTGGAACCACTTTAAGTATATTTAGTGCAATTTAAGTGTATTTCTTAAAATACATTTAAAATGTCCTTTTAATACTTCATGAACTACAGTTAGCGTATATTTGAAGCATCGTTTTAATGTACTTCAAGTACATTTCAATTGTATTTCAGCTCATTGGAAATGCATTAGCATTACACTACTAGTATATTATAAAGCTGCATTTTTCAGTATATACACACATGTACACACTTTGATATCTAGAAAACTTTAATGTATTATATATTGTTGTGTACATTACAAATATTCATAAAGTACACAAAAAAAGGACAGCAGCATATATACTTTGGTGAAAAACAAAACAAAACATACTATTAAATGTATTAAAAATGCACTTGAAATACAAGTATGTTTATAGTATACTACATTTTACTACAATATTACTACAAACATACTCAAGTACATTTTAATACATTATAAAAAAA